ATGATCCCGAATGAGCTTAGGAGATTGTCTGAATACCTACTGAACATCTTCCAGGTGTCTGGAGCCGCTGGCGAGTGGATATGCGCGCTTGTTGAGGAAGAGATCGATGGCACATTGAAAGAGTCACCTGCTAGCCGCTTGCGATTCAGCAAGAGACTGGGATCAAGTGAATCCAACGAGTCCTCCTTGGCCAACCAATTTGGTTCTGCAAGCGATCGTGAGCTCTTCGTTCGAGACATGGGCAACAATGCCAAGCTAGAGGCCAACCTACTCTTCCGCGGCAACACTTTGCTTACCAAGTCCTTGGACCTGCACATGAGGCGTCTTGGCAAAGAATACCTAGAGGAAACGCTGAGCGAGAAACTGAGAGAGATCAATACCAAGGATCCTGATTGTGAGGTCGACCCGAACAAGGTGACCTCACCCCACGAAATGGAGCGGAACTGGAGGCGGTTGATCAACTGCACCGAGGAAGTCTGGCGAGCCATATACAACTCCGTGTCACGGTGCCCGCAAGAACTGAGGTTGATCTTCAGACACATTAGAGCGTGTGCCGACGATCGGTACGGAGACTACTTACGGACGGTGCAGTACAGCAGTGTCTCTGGGTTCCTGTTCTTGCGTTTCTTCGTCCCAGCGGTGTTGAACCCGAAACTCTTCGGCCTTTTGAAAGGTGCGCAATCCTTGTCTATAACACGCTTCAATGCTAACAGTCCATCCAGATCACCCCAAGGTCAAAGCTCGAAGAACCTTCACTCTCATTGCAAAGTCTCTACAAGGTTTGGCAAACATGTCTTCGTTCGGTACCAAAGAAGCATGGATGGAGCCTATGAACACCTTCCTCACTTCACATCGGCAAGAGTTCAAGAAGTATCTGGACGACATCTGCTCGATATCGACAACCTCGCAACCCGCACCGCCGATACCACCCTCATACAGTACCCCGATCGCCATTCTCCACCGACTGCCTCCGACATTCAAAGAGGGATTCCCGTCACTTCCTTACCTCATCGACCATTCGCGCAATTTTGCAATGCTCGTCAACCTCTGGTTAGACAACACCCAGAAAAGCGCGCCTGACATTCAGGCTACTGACGGTGATCTCCTTCGTTTCCACAACATCTGCTTGTCTCTCAACGAGCGCACCAAGGACTGCCTGAATCGCGCCGAACCCGCTGAACGGCCGTCATCGTCACTCAGTGTCAAGTGGGAGGAGCTAGTCGAGCAGCTACAAGGTGCGCAGATCGACACGTCTAGGGGTGCAGCAACGAGGAATCGTGGGCCAATACAGGAAGAAGAGATCGAGGATTCCCCATTGTCTCCAAACAATGGTGATGTCGACTATTCCTCCTCGTCTACCAGCACACCCATAACAATGCAACCGCCACCACGGACACGACATCAGCAAAACTCGAGTATCTCAGCTTCTCAAAGCTCTTTAAAGAGCAACAGTTCGGCCACAATATCTTACACGAATCCATTCGCCAAGAAGCAATGGTCGGGTCAATACACACCAACAGGAAACGATTCGGTGAATGTCTCACAGTCCGCATCTGCATCCGCAAGCGCATCGGCATCGGCAAACGAAGATACGCCTCCAGGATCCAGCGACGGTATTCACATGGCTCCCGCGCCCTCCTATCCACAAGCCTTGACTACGACAACAACGACCACGATCTCTACATCCACATCAACCCAGTCCTTCAACTACAGTAACCCCAATGCCCACATCAACCAACAACAGCGACCTGCCACTGTATCCACGAATTCCCTCGTCGGAAGACCACCTCGCTCAGCAGGCGGTCAGAGTATGGAGGGCAGCGAAAATGGCAGTATCGCAGAAGAGGAATATACAACCGCGCTCCCTGCCTTCTCCGAAAAGGCAACGAAAGAGAAGAAGGAACGCGGCTTCCGAGGCGTCCTCCCCTTCCAGCGAAAAGGCAAGCGTAAAGACAAAGACAAGGATAAAGAGGACAAGAAAGACAAGAAAGAGGACAAAGAGAACCGCAAAGACAAAGGCAAAGACAAGGATCGTGACAGAGAACGGGAACGCAGCACCGAACGTGGGGCCAGCGCCTTGGGCCGAGAAGGCTATGTTGACTTTGGTAGCGTACGAGGAAAAGGCCGTGACCGCGATAGAGGAGGCGGAGAGGAACGTGACAATCATCGCGATGACTCCGAATTCTGACTACATGGCTGGTTTACTGGAGGTGATAGTCCGAGGACGCTGGCCAAGAGGGAGATCAAGAGGAGGAAGAGTGCAGGGGAGCTTTTGGACAAGGCAAGTCCGACGTGATGACGAATGTCAGTACATTCTGCCAGGGATGGACTTTTGTTTCTCTCTTTTTCGGACAGGCAATTCAAAAAGCTTGGTACACTCAAAGGCTGGATGTTGAAAAGCTTTGTTCCTACTACACGTGTAGCCATTTTTCTTGGTGGCTAGAAGTCGGCAAAGCTTGCATACACGGTGGCTGGTTTTGCTGCACGATTTGATGTGTTCTTTTTTTTCTTTCTTGTTATGGCGCGTTAGAGCGATGACCGGTTTGATTCCTTTCTTCAGGCAAAACGGGGGGGAACGTTTGCTTGATAGTCCTTTTTTGTTGTTGTCGTTGTTGTTATTGAACCTTTTTTTGTATATAGCATTTGCAGTTTTGTTTACGCATAGATATCAATGTTGATCGCTTAACACTAAACTATACTCTGTACGCAATGACTAAAGGTTTGTATAAAGTGTTTTTTTTAATGATATTATAGTCATAGATGAGTAGGTAGGTATACTGGTATCTGTCATGTGTTTTTCTCTCTCTACTACTGAACCCACCCCATTCCCTTACACCCTCGAGCGCAACGTCCATACTTTGAACTTGGCCGAAGCAACTTTCCCCACGCATGACCAACCACCTAGTCAAAGTTGAAAGCGTTCTTGTAAGCCTTCTTCTCCTTCTCCTTCCTCGCTTGTACCCTCTTCTTCACTACATCCAACTCCTTGACAATGGCCGCATCGCCCGGCGCATACTTGGCCGCCTCGTGCAAGTCCGCCAACGCCTCATCCTCGTTCTTCTTGCCGGCCTTGGCCTGTGCCCGCCTGAAGTACGCCTTGGCCTTGTCTTTGTCCGTAATGCCCTCGATATCCAGCGCCTTTGTTGCATTCTCCGCCGCATCCCCAAACTGGCCCGATTTGTTCTGAAGAAGCGCAGAGTTGCTGTATAGCGAGATCTTCAGTGCCTGGAGTTTAGGCCAGAGTTCTGCCGGGTCGTCGTCGAGAGGGGCGGGGTATTCGTGGAGGTAGCGGATACCCTTTTGGTATTTTGTGATGCCGAGTTTGAGATCACCCTTTTTGAAGGCGTCGTTGCCCATGTCCTTTAGCTTTGTAGCGATTTCGAGTATCTCATCGCCTTTCCATTCATCGTCTGCGTTCGCTTTCTGGTCTTCGGGGAAGTCCTCGTAGGGGTCGCCGGTTGCGTCGGAGATCTTTTCGGTGGCTTTGTCGTAGTCTTCGCCAGAAAGCTCACCGCACTCGATGATGGTAGCGTCCCGCTCAGGCTTGTCGCCGCTCTGTGTCTTGAGGTTCTCAATCTGGCGGACGATGCTCTTGCCGTTGATGACCTCTCCAAAGACAACGTGCTTCTTGTCGAGATGCGGCGTAGGCACTGTGGTGACGAAGAATTGGGAGCCGTTGGTTCCTGGACCGGCGTTGGCCATGCTCAGCAGGAACGGCTTGTCGTGCACTTTTTCAAAGTTCTCATCCTCGAACTTTTCGCCATATATACTTTCTCCGCCTGTGCCGTTGCCCTGCGTGAAATCACCGCCTTGGATCATGAAGCCCTTGATGACGCGGTGGAAACTCGAGTTCTTGTAGTGGAGAGGCTTTCCAGATGCGCCTTCACCTTTCTCGCCGGTGCATAGTGCGCGGAAATTTTCTGCGGTCTTGGGGACGATATCGCTGTACTGTGTACATTGTTAATGGTGTGTTCAAACTGGTTGGATTGCGCGGGATTGCGCGGGTTTGCGTGACAAGTTGGGCGACGTACGAGCTCAAAGGCAACGCGGCCAGCCTTGACGCCGCCAATGGCGATGTCGAAGAAGACACGAGGGCGCTCTGGATATTGTTAGCACACTTTCCAATTTTCTCTGGGTCACCAAAGCTCAGAAGTGAGCTTCATATGAAAGTTACTTACTAGTATCAGCCATGGTCGCTGAATCGCTTTGATTGTGTGTGAGGAATTCGAAACAGTATGAACGCGGGGAACGGCACTGGGGCAATTGACAGAGTTGAAAGTGTTGGAGTTTATGTGCAAGACTGAAGAAAAGCACGGTGGTGGTAAGCTGTCCAGAACTTTCTACGAAGCTACAGCTACACCTTCATGCCGCGCCAAGCCCGCATTTACACACCGATACGACGTTTCGGAGAGCCGAAATCCGGTTGATTGCAGTTTCTAAATTTTCAATGACAGCTGGTTTCTTCCTATTCAATTGCAGTGCGCAGCCACTCCTCATACTCTTTCTTTGAATCTTGTTGCATCTTGTAAACATTGACGCGATGCTCGCGATGAGGGGCAACGCGGGGCAATGCCCGGACTCCATTGTGGCCGTATCTTCCGAAAGCTATACGGCAAGCCTCAACATTAAATTCGCAAAGATTACCCAAACGAGCAAGTAATGTCACGGATGCAAAATGCGTTTTGCCATCCGGAGAGGCTTATTCTTGTCAAGTTTTACAACAGTCATGCTGCACCCTACAAGGTACACATTATGTTTTGTTACTGTGCTGGCGTAAAGTATAGCGTATACCTTTGGGATTGACTTGAATACTGGATGAACTCTATAAAACGAGCTTCTTCGTACCCGGATCTTCAGGCTCCAGTCTACCTCTTTCCCTTACCAATCTCTCGCTGTAGTACGAAACAATAGCTCCAACAACGCCATCCACGCGCACAATAACAGAAGTCACTTGTGGAATCAACATTAACACTGAGAAGATTTACCCCCGACTAACCGCATTACCGCCTTGCAGACATAGAGAAAGGAAGAGCCGTCGAGACCATCTCATTCTGATCGTAATGGTAAGTGAAACCACCCTGCAGCGTCCGTCGCAGGGCGTTTAGCCTCTGCAACTTCCACCACTTGTCGATCCGAATCTCCACGTTCTTGTTGATCTTGACCTTCATTCTGCCCGCTCCATAGGCCTTGCCAGTCTCCTCATGTAGAGCCGTGGAGTAAGCAGGACCGCGACTAGGCTTCTCGACAGTGTTGCGGATATCTGCAAAGGACGAGTGTAGTGCCTTGCGGTCCTTCTTGGAGATACGGCGCGTGGAGACGTTGGCGAGTTCATCGAGCGTATGTAGAAGCTGGTCTTGTCTTCGGTAGACGGTGTAGCGCTTCACTAATCGCTCGCCATTCCGAACGTGCTCTGGGTCGTCAGAGTCTTCGTCTTCTGGTGCGTCCTCATCTTCTTCTTGTGGGGTAAGGGACTTTTCGTAGAGGAGTGCAATGTTCTCGCCTGCTGCGATCTGAACACCAGAGTCAGCGCTCTCAAGCTGCTCGACGAAAGCTTCCATTGCAGCCTCTGTTTCCTCTTCTAGGTCTTCGATCTCGGTCGCTAGGAGACCCCATTCTTCTAACGCGGCAATCACAACGTTCCCCTCGTCTTGTGCATCGATGGATGCGCCGTCTGATTCGACAATCTCGATGAACAGGTTCATGATGTCCAAGATCTCACCGTCGCCGGCGCCGGCGAAGAAGGCAGTTGTGCCAAGGGTGTGGATCGCATTGACTTTGATGGCAATGGAAGAAGAAGACTGTATCGAGCGCTTGAGTTGGTCGGCCACGTCATCGTAGATGCTATCGGAGTCAAGAGTCACGGCGGTGACAGCCAGTGCTGGCGACCGTTAGTAAAGTCTACTTGCTGTGGCGCGTGTCTCATACCTTTGAGGGCTTCAACGACCTCGGCCTCTGTGGTTTCCTGCCTGATGCTCTTAATCATCGACGACACCAGTTCCGCTACATGCCCCTCGACCTCGTCCCTTGCATAGCGGGCCTTGAGGATGTGGGCATATGCTTTTAGGCTTTCGGTGCGGCCTTCGGTGCTGCTGCGCTTGAGGTTGGTGATTTGCTCGATGCGCGTGTTGAGCTCAGACTTCCACGCGTCTTCAGGTATGTTCACGTCCTCACCGTTGAGGACATCGTCGATGGATGCTGTGCTGTTGTATATGTTAGTGTGTTCATATACCAAAGTCGCGAAGCGATGATGTCACCGGTGCGATCGCGATGTGGGGAAAAATAAAAAGTCATGGACGCGGTCAAACTCACCTCCAAGCAGTTCCGTCGCTGAAGTCGTCCTCATCCTCCGAGTCATGTTCATGTCGGACGCGACTGGCGGCGCGTGACTGTGCTGGCGATCCAACTGCTGAAGTTGTCTTCGAGGCAGTTGTAGATGCGACGCGCGAACGGGCTTTGCGCGACATGGTCTTGTGGCTCTCAAGAGCCTGTTTCCGGAGATCGCGCATCGTGATTTGTAGATTGTGGGTGGTTTGTGCTTGCTGAGAGGCAAGTTTGGCGTATTTTTGTTGTTCGAGCCCGCGGGGAATGCAGTCGTGCTGGCAGTAGATTGCGGGGAACGCAGGGTGAAAACGCAGTTATTGCAACGGCAAAGAGTCTGTAAAATCAGGTGTGAAATAATACCGGTGAGGTTTGAAAGACATGAGTATGAGTCAGAGGAGAAGGCAACCAAACTACAGGTTGCAAAAGTAGGACGACGTTGGTACCAAGGGTGTGCAGGAGGCGACGTTCAGGTGTCAGATGTTCATCCATACGACTCTTTCCGACTCGGTGGCTGCCCAAAGTGCGCTAAACCATGACCTACGTCATTGCAGTTTGCCTTGCTCGAGCAATCACATAATCATTATCTTCGTACCTTTTCCTACTGCCGTAGTGTACAGAAGCACATCGTTCCCTATCGAACGCGCCAGCTGCACAGTACCTACCTATCATCCGTCAAGTGTAAGCCAGATGGCCCTGTCGCTGATTGGTCGTATGTACGCCTACCTTCTCTTGGGATGGATAGGTACAGCAGCTGGCAAGGCACGGTAGTCCTCGCGTCGGTAAAACTAATTACACGTGCGGAACCGCGCAAAGTCGTCAATGAACTGATCCGTGAGAAGGCAAAGCAGATGGGAGTTCAGCTGGAAGTTCAGCTGCTGGCTCTTGTGGCTGCTCTTCAAGCCCCTCCATCAGCCCTACCTTTGCGAGACATTCCTCAATAGCCCTTCAGGCCTTCCGAGACATCTTTGAGGCTCATGCGGCTCAACTATGGCGGCCCGACGGTCGAGTATCCGCTCAGCGTTCGAAATAGCTACGGCGCAGACAACGTTCGTGCACCGCGACCGTTCGCCGCACTGCAGGATCTAGATGGATATGAATAGATGAAAGGATCACGAGGCCAGATGCTCCATGCAATGCACGCATTTTGAAAGTGGCACAACCACGTGGAGCTTAGCTGTGCCAGCGGATCGTTTCCCGCGAATCGGCCTATTGCTGGACCTCAACCTCAGCCTCGGTTCTAGTCTATATGTGGCAGGCCATGCACGGGGTTTCAAGACGCAGGGCTTCGTCGATGAGTACATACGGCACAGAACCTTATCACAAGTTCGGTGTCTTGCGCGCATAAGTGTATACATGTATTCTGGACCCGAGTATAGGCATCTCGCTTCCACTGGTCGTCGGCTTATCCGTGACAGCGGCAATGTTGGTGCCGCACCCATGTCCAACTCCATGTCCAACTCCATGTCCAGCCCCATGTTCCAACTCCAGGGCACCGCCAACGAATGGGTTACCTCTTGCGACCCAGCTCCTCGTCGCCCTCCAGCCAACCGACCAGACTCGGCACCGACACCATGGTAAAAGGCGACCAGAGGCACACGCCGCAACGTGGAGTGAGTAAGAAACATGCGCCTAGGCGGCACAGTGTCAACATACCAGCAATGCAATGCCTACCTCGGATAGCCTGCACATCATTGATGTGATCTCCTCTGTTGGCTTACAAACGCCTTACCAGATTCACTCCGCACCGGGCAGCTTGATAAAGCTCACATGTGCGCAATGTCGCATTGTCTTGTTGTGGGGAGGACTGTGAAGCGAGGCTTATGCGGCACGGTCACCAACACATCTCTACTCGGCATATAACACCATAGCGAGTAGGTATCAACGGGATCCAGTTCCTCCGAATTACGCGAAAGCGATCACCAGAGTCAACAAGGATGTTGATCCTACAAACGTTGCTAAGACCCTCACGATGTCGATAGGCAAGCTCCACCGAACTAGTTTTGTTCAGGCATCTGATGCGCGACCAAAGTAGCGAGTGGAGTGCCTGCCTAAACGGATGAATATCGGATTCCATTCATGCGCAATTGCAATTGGTCTGTTCGTATAGAATGTACCTTGCGCACTACGGTCCGATTTGCAACCACGTCGTATACATGAACTAGTTTCGATATTGTATGTACTACTGTAAAGCGAATGGACAAAGTGCAAGTAAAAAACCAAGGAGAACTCCCAAAACGCCCTCGAGGCCCGCCATGCTAGCCCGATCATGATCTATACCCCGCCTTGACCACGCGATGCTATGCAAAAGATCAAAGAAATCACAAAACAATGTGATGAACGAGAGAATAGGGAAATTACGCGAACCGCAACCACCTCGAGCGAGACCCTGCCCTTCGTCTAATGTTACCTTTACCGCTCAGGATAAGTCTCCGGTCCAGGGGTTGGTGCACCAAATAAGTCTCCGGTGCCTGTTTCAAGTCCAAGCAGCATATCTTGTGCGGCAAGTTCCGCGCTGGTGAGGTGCCGTTGCGGTTGTGGCGGGTCATTCTGTAATTGAATTGATGAAGAATGCAATTCGTGTTCTTGATGAACGTTCCACCATGATAACGACGTTGATGCGGATGTTGATAAAGACAATGCCGGTAATGACGATGCGCTTAAACGACTGATGCCTGCACTTGAACTGCCACCCCTGCTGCGTCCACCGGCTCTGCCTCCTCTTCTTGACGGTGATTTGGCGATCCTGGCTCGTGTGATGCCGGCGTAACGGCTTCTTGTTGATATCGCTGCTGTTGTTGATCGTTGTGGCAATGCTCGTACAGTCCCACCCTCGACCTCTCCAAGCATTCGTACACGCTGAGCACTACGCGTAGCATGCCCCATCGTCTCTTCGCCCCCTCCTGTAATTCCAGTACTACCCCTGTCATCCCTATGCACACCCAATCAGCCCTCCTCTTCCTCATCTCCCCCTTTTGTTTTCCTCCGTCTTTGAAGGATGGACTCACTGATGAGAACCTCCCGCGCCTTCTGGCCACCCAAACGGAAATGCGCTTCTCTCTCCTGGCCTCCGCTTGGGAATGTCGATGTGATGGAAGTTGCGTAGATGCTCGACTAAATGGTCTCTTCGCGTGAAACCTTTGTCACCGACGCGATTACAGCGGGGCACGTTGCACGGGTATTCTGGAGTCCCGACACCGTGGACAGTGGATTGGTGGCGCTGAAGATCCGCGAGACGGGTGAAGTTTGCTGAGGAGGAGCAGCCGGGGATATCGCAGGTCCATGTTCTGTAAGTTGGGAGCATGATTAGCTGATGAACGCGCAAGCGGATGGAGGAACTTTACTTTGTGCGGCTGCTACTTCTGCTTTGATATCAGCATGATATTGTGAAATTTGGATGGGAAAGTGCTTACCTAGTTGGGCCTTGCGATGTGTTCATTCCTAGATCGTCGCCGTGACTTTGCCAACTTCCAACATCATACCCACTGGCTACTGGTTGTTGATATCCAGCAGTATGTGTAACAGTTACCGGTTGCGTATAATAGTCTGGGATGATTTGGTATGGTTGAGGTGGATATTGTTGATACTGTGCGTAATAGGCATTGATTTGAGATTGAGTATATTGTGGCACTCCTGAGTGTGGATAAGAGGCTTGATAGCTGTAGTTACCTTGGTCGGACGAGGAGTACTGATTATACGAGTCAACACCGAAGATTGCTGTAAAGACTGGAGTGACACTTACGCTGTATCCGGACATAGCGGGCGAAGGCGGTTGTTCCTGCTTTGGACGTATCGACTTTGTTTTCTTGGTACGGGTGGTAGCACTAGAAGGGCGATAGGCGGGCGCCACGGGCGAAGTGATGATGCGTAGCTTCTGTGGTCTGGATGATCTCCTCGTGCTAGTTACTGAAGAGTGTCTTCGAGGCCGTAGTTGGACCTGCTCAAGAGACCTATGAAGCCTTGGTTAGATGTTATTGATGATTTTGATGCTTCTACTATCGTGGAATGGTCATGAGTCTTATATCAAGATAAGTGCGATAACCCTTTTCCTGCTCTTGAACGGAGACCGATCACTGCCACCCCGCGGCTTATGCTATGAACGGGACTGCATAGACTCACAGGTACTTCGGAGGAAATGAGCCATCAGGGCGCCCAAAGGCATCTCCATGCGAACCGTAGTGCACCAACATGGTGATGACGAACAAAAGTAGAAGTGTGGTAAGGCGAGAAAGCAAATCAGGTTGCGGATTCGGCCGGATGTGTGTGGCGATCGTATCTTTCGTAAGATTTGATCTCCTTTGTGTAAGTGACGCTACGCCAGAGGCCAAATGTTTGAATATAGAAGTCCAAGGTTGCTGAGGTGGATTTGTAGGATGGCGAGGCGAAGTCGATACCAGTGTAGTGGTACCCCACACGACTATCGGTATAGGGCTGACAACGACTAGTGCCCGTGCCGACGCCGGAAAATCAAGTAGGAGCTGAATCAAAAGGCCTAATCTTGCGGTATGTGGTGGATAGATCGGGGCGGTGAAATAATGATCTAAGTGAAGAAGCAGGAAGCACAACGGAAGACAATAGTAGATCTGTGTCGTCTCCGCTGTCTTATGGCGATGCAGGGCGACTGCCCTAGACCCCGATCCAACTTTAATTGAACTGTAGCAACTATTTCATTTGTCGTTGTCATTGCTTGGCAAGGCAGAGAGCTAGAATAGTCCGATGCATACAGGTTGGTATTCTGATCTTTGTGTGCCGGGATTCATGATGGGCATAGTTCACCGATTAACACATAAGCGGGTAGGTGGATGGGCCGCTGTGTGACTGTTGGTGCATGCGTGTCTTGCTCCCGTACTTTCGTTCCACGATGAAGGATTCAACCCCTGTCTAGCTGCATGATATGGGCTGGAGCCTGGGGACCGGCCTGGGAGTTTCGAGATGCTTTACACTTCTCTGGTTGGCTCTTGATCACGTCTTGGTACAGGAACGCTCAATACACTTGAGATGACAGCGTGATTGCGGGAACAAGCGCCATCCTGATGAAGCTTCTAATGCGATCGAATTCGAACTTGGCTTGACCGCTCGTCCCGGAGCGGATTAGCTGTCATCAAACGCCCATTTGTGTCCTTTCTTCGTTCATTCCTGCTGCTCGTTGTAAGTGGGTCAATTAACCCGCAACCTGGTGGAGTTTGAC